ATGGAACCCGAGAGGGATCGTGATGTTGCTGTCGATAACAGCACCGCACGTTGCCGCGCGATCACGAAGACAGTAGATAGGGTCATGACGGCAACTCGCCCGCAGGCACCGGCGCACCCGGGATTCCCTTGGAGCGATCCTCGCGATTCGCGACTGATATATTCAAATAAAGTGTTCTCCCAGTCTCGGAGCTGACAGAATTTTTGCTGGCTCTTACCGTGCGAATCTGTACATTTCCGACGGAGCTCCGTTTTCTCATCGTTCCAACCTTATTCTCAAATGAATGACATACAAGAGTGTGGACTACAAGAGCTGTGGGATGGCGAAGCGAAGGGAGCAATTTGGGGGGGGGGAGGCCTTAGAACTCCTCGTGAAGTTCAGCTTCGCTGCCCATCACTACGGCCCCCCGGCCGAGGCTTGAAGCGGTCATCTCACCGTGGAGAAGAACTACTAAAGCCACATAGCTTCCGTTTTTACGACGTGGACCGCGGTTCTCTCTGGAGACCGAACTCGCTGCTACCAGTAAAAATCCGGTCCTTATGCAAACCTCCAGCCTCCGGTCATGACCCAAAAGAAGAAACACTGATCAACTTACAAACCGGTTAATCCTTAGGACACGAATTGCATGGTGCGAGATCCTTGAAACAATTACGCGAAGAATTAGGATTACAACAATGAACAGCAGCGAATAGGGGAAATGCCCCGAATCAGTAGCGGGGCAAATCAGCAGCAGCAGCAGATCTAACAATCGACGAGAGTCGACTGGGGCATGGCGCATCCCCGAATCAGACGGTTGGTGGCGTGGAGAGTCGGAATCGCTGACATTTGACGAATATGAGCGGTGTTGCTCGAATACACCTGGCTGCTATTATTGCTAATTATTCTATTAGTTTCAAAATTCTATACGCAATTGCTAATGACCACCTGTTTTGGCCTTGACCACGCACTCAGTGGCACTTTGAAATTACTCCAACATTCGTATTCATTTGTCATAGAAAATGGATCGCGGAGAATGCCAAGTCCATTCCAAGGTTTTTATTCCGAGTCAAATCTGGCACTAGTTGTCAACCCTGAAGGGGGTTGAAAATTGTTCGTGTTGTGCGATATTTTATGATTAGACTCCATCAATAAAGCAGGCGTTTCTTGCCACTGAATTGCATCTGAAATCAATTCGATACCACGTTTGCGCGAATTTATTACTTTTACAGGATCATACTCCTTTTGGGCTCACTGGTGCAGTCTTTTCCTACGATCAAGATTTCTTGAATCAGTACGTTTGCACATTTCAAATTGAAGTGTTTATGTGTTGTTTTGTGGCTGTTTCCACTCTAGGAAATATATTATTCGATTGAGAATATTGGTATAATAACATCTCTTGGATTTTTAGCGCACGTACTGTATTGCGTGATGCAGTTGGAAATATGTACTTTAACGACAAGTCGACTGGAGCAGTTGTAGGGCAACAGCCTTTTGGAGGAGCTCGTATGTCCGGTTAGTAAGAGCTAGGTCTACATTATGGTATCGTTGAGTTTTGCAAGTTTTATCCTCTTTTACACAGTTTATGACGACGATTCTTGTCGTCGTAAGACTAAGTTGACGATCTATCTTAGCCCCACCACCTATGGTAGTAGCAGCAGTTCGCAGGCGCGTTCGCGGACTCGGAATCAGCTAATGAGATAGAATCAAGGGTATCTACGCTATGTGAAGTCGGTTTAATTCACTAGAAACATAGCTAGGAATTCTACCTCGGTTGGGTTACTGTAAAATTGCTAGCTTTCTTGCCGTCGAGAATCATACGCTGTACCCACATACGCATTTTCTGTGCTAGCTTCTGCTCAATGCCGTTTTGATGTAAAGTTTATTTCAGGAACAAATGACAAGCAGAGGGGGCCATCATTATGGCCTCAGATGGGCGTCTCCGCTCACAATCAAGGAAACAAGTGCACCTCTTACTGAGTGGCGTTATCCGTCAATGGAATAAGCGCTATTCGAGAAAAACACGAATTATTCCCCTTTTTGTGATGACCTATAAGGAGTACAAGTGTGTTCAGAGGCATAACGCCGCCCTGATGTGCTTTTATATTTGGTTTTATATCGTTCGATCTGCCCATCTTAGTTTACGTTTTCACTTTGGCAAATGGGTCCATAGAAATTAGATTCTAGTCAATGATATTGTCGGCATGAATAGTTTGAAAGGTCATTGCTGGTCACCACGTATTTATTTGTTTTCGTTGCGCTGCATGACTCTCAGATGATGATGGAATTCTAGCACTTACAATGAAATATTTCCTACAGCGGTTTTTTTTGACTCCAACAGTTGCAATGATTAAGCATCGCCTTATCTATCTTAGAAATTCAGTTAAATGATTTCTTCATTTATCTTATTCGCATGAGTAGAATCATGGAATAACTAATGTTGTTGCTTGAGAAGGATCGTAAACTCGAGGGAGTCTCTCCATTCCACAGGGGTTTTCTGTTTTTTTGTAAGGCCGATGTCAGACTTTGCGAATCGCGCGATTCGCTAGCGTCTGCGGTCGCGTCGCGGCCAGTGAATCACTCAATTGGCTGGTACCGCAACGCGACCGCGGACGCTAGCGAATCGCGCGAATCGCTAGTAGCGAATCGCGCGATTCGCAAAGTCTGACATCGGCCTAATGCGCTAACCAGGAAGGTCTTTCAGGGCGTGACAAGCTTTTTGAAAACGGTCTTTTGCATGATATAGGGGCAGATGCGGGAACCACAGAACCATGTTTAATTTTTCCTGAACGGCCCTCTGAATACCAGAAAAGGGGGTCCCTAGTTCGATTCTCTCTTGGTGACAAATTTTTGCATTTCGAGTTGACGTTCCAAAATTCGCGCAAAATGGAGTTCTGATTGTTCTGGTTGGTTCTAACTCCATTTTGCGCGAATTTTGGCACGTCAACTCGAAATGCAAAAATTTGTTACCACGAGGAATCGAACTAGGGACCTCCTTTTCTGGTATTCAGAGGGCCGTTCAGGAAAAATTGAACATCTGTGGTTCCCGCATCTGCCCCTATATCATGCAAAAGACCGTTTTCAAAAAGCTTGTCACGCCCTGAAAGACCTTCCTGGTAGATGAGCTCCACGTTGATGAGCAAAGTTTCCTTGTGGTGCTTATCCTACTCGATTGGGATAATTTTAACATGATAGAATAGAGATCATCAAGAAAGGTAGGCGCAGTGAAAGGTTCAGTAGAGGTGGGGCCAGCATGTACATTTATCAGGCGTTTCTTCGAGGACTGCGGCTCGCGTAACTGGTTAGAAATTTTCGGAGACGAGGTCGGATCGATTGGCTGGGGGCGAAAGTTTTGCCACACAGTGGCTATGTAGGCAACTGCAGCTCAACTCATTTCGCAGCTTCAAAGTGTGTTATGACGCATTTGAGATGGTAGTCGAGCCCTTGCAGATGCCTGGTATTCCTTGAACAGAATCAGTCACATTTGAAGGAGTGGTCACGATCACTCTATAGTAACGAGAAAGAAAGGGAGTAGGGGCTTGGGGACGGGTTCCCGCCTATGAGGATAGTTGAAGAGGCCAGTGGCGCTCATCAGCGGAGTGGTAAGGCAGCCGGAACTTCAGGTATGCATCTCTTAGGTATCAGCGAAGGGTTGCTTGCAGGACTAGATATTGATCAGGTTATTTATTCGTCCGTTCATTGTGGAGTGAAACTCTTCAAGCAGTGTATTCCTTTTTTTTCGTTTATTTTTTGGCTACGTATTTCCATAGGGTTACGCTCCACCGACCATTATCTACCTCAGATTTTATCGGTTGATAAGGCGTAGTAGGCACTCCACTGGAAGCTAGCGCAAGTTTCCCTAAGTTGTTCAGTGAAAACGCGTTTTGGGATTGCTAAACGAGATAATGGGAGGTGGACCGCCAGTGGAGAAAAAAGAAAAAAAATCGTGAAATACACAGGAAATACGAGCCTTTTGCTCTACGCTGCGGAGAAGTTCAAAAGGCCGGCAGGGAGATGAGAGATAATGTGAGCGCGGAGAGCGGTAGAGAAGTCCGAGTAGAGAGAGCATAGCAGATCAAGCGACGCAGACAAGATATCGAGCGGTGGGCGGAGCGTGTCACAGGTGGAGCGTGTCAAAGTTCTTAGCGCCTAGCGTCTAAAGTAACGCTTTTCGAAGTAGGGAAGTGACGCGACCTCTGCACTTGCGTACCTAGCGCTTCTAGCCACAGTAAAGGCTCATTAAGTGGGTCTGAGCCCGAACTTTGCCTTTAAATTCCCGATAGGTGCTTTGTTCGATTTTTCGTTGATAATCTGAACGAACTGAAAGGACAAAACTTTCAATCTAATCAGTCATTTTCGGAGCGCACCACAAATTCCAGGATCGTGTTCTAATTGGAAGTAAGATGCGCGGCGCATCCAAAAAAGTGATTGATTGGCGCGGAACGTTTTCACTTTTATTTTTTCTCTTTTCAGTCTTCCCAAATTGAGCACTATGTCTGCGGACGGATTGTGTATGAGGAAGAGGGAGAAGACTCCTTGCCTAAGAGGATGCACTTGCCTGAGATTATGCAGGATGACTTGGAGTTTTCCGGAACTACTATGACAGGGAATCGTAGCCCAGGAAAATATCGTAGAGAGGGGATGCCTTGGAGGTAAGCTTTAGGTACCTCTAAATTGTTTAACACAGAGAAGCTCCAAAAGTTTTATTCCAAAAGAATTCCAAAAGTTCACAAAAGTCCAAATACTCCAAAAAACGAGCCAAAAATTTTTTCCGCGATATTTCGGTGTATAACACCTTCTTCAGGCATGGAGTTGCCTCTGCCAAGGATGAAGCTACCCTTACGGAAGCCGCGCCGATGGAGTGGAACAGAATAAACAAATTTAGGTCCTGATGAGGCTCCGGGACAGCACAATACTAAGAGATACCTCTAAATAGTGTATTGAGCAGAGGCAATTTGAACAAAAGTTGCCTGTCATCATATTCTGTAGAACCAGAAGCTGAAACATGGGAAAGTGCCACAGATCATTATTCCATCTCAAGCCGAAGAGATCTAGAGATTTAGTAGAAGTTTGATAGGAAGTAGGAAAAATGGGGGCTTGATTTCATTACTGCACCTCAATGGTAGAAGCAAGGTCATCCACTGGAAAGGAAAAATAGCACAGGAAAGGGGAAACTTATTCAAACCTAATTAGGGAAGTGAAGTCCGCTGAGAGGGTTCAGAACCTCAAATTTTCAGAAAGTAAGAGCTTTTCTGACAGGGCTACAAACCAATCGTATATTTTGTCAGTAGTGGCGTAGAAACCGTAAAATGATGTGGGCATTTCTACGGACGCACAATCAGGATGCAGGATTATCCATTGCCCATCTCATTGGAAATGAAGAATATCACAGAAAAGGGGAAGTTATTCAATTCCAACTAGGTGAGCTATCCCCTTGGATGCTATTCGTCCTGTTGGCTATAGATGAAATATTCCTTATGGTTAATTAAAACTGCAACTCAATCACTTTTGCACTACGGAGATTGCCTCGAGGGCCTGCCGCACCATGCGAGTACACCGAGTTTTTCCTTCGTCTGCACTCTCCGTGAAGTCCGTGCTCCCTCATTAGTGGACCAAAGAGCAATATCGAATGGGCTGCGCGATTTGTGCTCTCGGTTCGCTTTCGTGGATCGTCCGTGAAAAGCTTCCCTCTTTTTTGAAGCACTTATCAGACGTAGTAGCTAAGTGCTTTGTAGCTCTCTTTGTTTGACACTCAGCTTTTTTGATACATCGTTGAGATTTTTCGATGGTGTAACTTTGTTGAACTGCACACGAGGTTGATATTGACAGTTTATTGGCTAACGTTTCGGCGAGTTCGCCTTCTTCGGAGCCTAATGGAAGTCGAGTTTATGAGTATCCGACCAAAAATCTCCACACACACACTACTAGATCTTCGACACCACCTAATCATCACGTAATCACAAGGAGAAGAAACACCGTACCTTTACCAGATCCACTGGACCAGCCAACGACAAGCACAGTACAGTAAGACTTCGGGTGGACCGTATTCAGGGTACCGGTTGGAAAGCCAGGCTTATATGGGGCTAACTCCCGCGTAATTGACAGGCGGTTTGTCGAGATTTTTGTCAATGTTGACTGGCTTTGTTGTTTGACACATAGCTTCTCCTAAAATTTCGAGATTTTTGTCAATATTAACCTGTAAGCCTCACATTCATTTATCTGGAAGGTATCCTCTACGTTTCCCTTTTTAGCGAGGGAATGGCTTTTGATTAACTGATGCTATTGCCTGATAAAAATAGTTCTCGAGGCTAGTTTTTACATTCTGGTCATCTCCTAAACGCAATTGATTCGGCATCATCCTCGCTGATTTCCTTCGTAGAAGTAAACCACCTCTAACTATATCCCTATGAATTGTTATAACCTTTCGTTATAATTATTTTCACTGATTAATTGAAAATGAAGATGGAATTCACGGCCCATTTGGTGATCGTCTGCAACCCTGTGGGCGCCAAGCAGTCTGGATGAAGCTGTCGAATAAAAACGATGTTCCTCCGGGGTGAGGAGAGGGGGTGGCGGCAGTCTTAGGATGTCTGTTAGGACTAGGTCTAATGGAGAGGGACGAATTTTAACACCTTGGAGCCCATGCAGCCCATATGTGGGCTGCAGTCCGTCGACCGCTTAGGACCTTTCAGCTCTTATTTCGGAAACAAATATTAAGTTTTTCTTTCATTTTCTTTTCCATCGCATTCGATAAGGTTTCTTCTGCATCATACACTAGTTTTTTCTTTCCAATTTGCTTGATAAGATTCCTAAAAATTTCACTGAAGTCCCACGCGGCCACAAAACGTAAAACATGCGCGGTCTCCAACGTGTTAAAGAGAAGGAGAATTGCTTTCGCACCCCGGATTCCTTCTCCGTTCAGGCTCAGTCCTAAAGCTGAGTGTTGCCGTGAATCTGACGCAATGTTACGGGCCCTCCCACTCCCCGGAGTCAATTTGCGCCTAAACGGCAAGCGCTTGAGTATGATCTTAATTGGTAACTTGATGAAGTTCCTTTTACACGTGACATGACATCACATGGGTGTTATCATACTTTTGGCGCAAGCGCATCACATCATGCTTTTCGCTTTTCCAGGTGTTTATCGCATCATCCTGCCATGTTTACAAAGCATCAAAATAGGAAATGGTTATGACAGTTCAAAACTATCTATTGCTGATGCCCACAAAGACTCTAAGCTCATTTTCGATATCTGGCAATTTAACCTTGCTCGTCTGTTTTTAGGCGATTGTGATCAGTAAACTTTTGAAGGAGTGTCAGAACATAAAAACGGTTGAAAGGTCATAGAACAGTCTTGGCTGGCTCTCAGAGAATGAATTGAATGACTTTGATTTTTGACCAGTCTATTTATCACATTCTTTCCAGACAGAATCATGTTAGCAAGACGAAATAGGTAATGTCACGTGTAAACTTCACAGAGGAGTCTCAACTTTCAGGTAAGTCAAATTTTTTGTAGTAATTCTACAAATATGCAAATTTACTAACTTTCTTAGTGGATTGACCTCTGAACAGTTCATGCGAAACCCGACAAATGAGCCGATTTTGGAGTATAAGAAAGGAAGCCAGGAGAGGCAAGAGTTAGAGAATGAGTTGGAGAAAATGAGCCAGGTACAAATATGATTATTGTGAGATTGTCAATATTCGCCTTTGATATGGTTGGAACCTCTCATTAATGAAACACCGCTTGTATGTTCCTTGCAGACACCACGCTGTCCATAAACGGCAGTAAGAGCATCACGCAACAACTTTAGCGTGGATACAAGTTATGGTAGGTTTTCCTTTGAAAGTTTTTCCGGCGACATGCACTTTACTTTTTATCACGCGTTTAAATACTTGGTGTTGTACCTATACAGTTTTTTCGCAATCTGTAATGCTTCTTAGAAGTCTTGAAGGTTCCATTAGCGCCCACTAAGAGCTACGACCTCGTCCTGCCGCTATAGCTAGGCCCTATGTTCTATAACTGTGACCTTGCAACCGTCTCACACCCGCCAAGTGTTCATTGGTCTTCCTAGGCCGAACCACACTTTTTAAAATGCGTCTAGTCAGCGCAGTAATTGTAAGAGCGTGATATCGCTACGTAGCGCGTCGGCGAAACTGAAACTGGGGTTTTCCTGTCTGGAATGTCTACGATGCTCATGCGATTTATCGTCTAGTTCATTTCGGAATTGCAAATAGCTTATGAAAGTGTACTCATGGTTGTGTTTTCGTAGTGAATTTAAAGGTCGCGATTAGCTTGAGTAAAGTTTTTTTTAAATTGCACTCCTCATTTATCATCCTATCAAATGCGAATCTATTTTTCTGTGGTTTTCTGATGGTAATTAGCATTTTCCAAGAATTCTTATTCAGCCTTCCGATCATCAAACTGTTATCGCCAAGTATTCTTACGCGACTGCCGGCCAGATTCTTGAGGCGATCGAAGTCGCTCTTGAAGCCCGCATACCATGGGAAAGAAAACCTTTGAAGTAAGACGGTAGCTTTTCTTGTTAGCTTTCACAGTCTTTTTTTCTTGCATTTTGTGACAAGTGTTTTCTTTCTAGAAAGTTTTTGAAGAAGTGTGCTTTCAGAGAAAGAGCGGATATTCTTCTTCATGCAGCTGATCTGGCTGGTGGTAAGTATCGCATGAGGCTAAATGCGGCTACTATGCTCGGACAAGGAAAAAACATCATTCAGGTTAGTCTAACGGATGTTTGGACATATTTTATTGGCCAGGGAAGTTGGGCAGGCTAATTTTTGCTTAAATTTTTTGATGTCTTTTTGGTCTCTTCTAACGAGTTGCAATTTGCTGATTAAATTGAACTAAAAATTAAAATGTTCATCATGTATATATAAACATATCAGTTTATATAACCCTTGGAAACTTATCGTTGAAGTTTTCATGGGTCTATGTATTTCCATTTAGCTTGCAAAAAAGTTCAGTTCAACCTAGAGATGCTTAAGCTCTTCATTTAGAACTGTTTCATATGAGCAGTCGAATTCTGTTTCCTTTCTCCACGATACCCTTTCAGGCTGAAATTGATTCCGCTTGTGAATTGATAGACTTCTTCCGTTTCAACTCCAAATTTGCGTTCGACTTGGAAAAGTACGAACCGATCAGTACAAAGATCAGCACCAATAAGATGGTATACAGAGGCTTGGAGGTATGTTTGCTAGTTTTTGAACTGAACTCTATGTGAACTTCGGTGAATAGCCATCCTTTGAAGGGTTTCGTTGCTGCCATTTCTCCATTCAACTTCACAGCCATTGGTGGCAACCTACCCACAGCTCCTGCATTAATGGTGAGCGCAGTTATCTCTAGTTGAAACTGTTGGATTCTCTGAATGGGATACTTGACGATTGGGATGTTCGTTTCAGGGGAATGTTGTGCTGTGGAAGCCATCTGACACCGCCGTCCTCAGCAATTACGTAATATATGAGTTGTTGGAAGAAGCAGGTGAATAGCCTCAAGATACGATTTCTTTGTTTTCCAATTCATGACTGACGGTATAATTGTGGAGACCATATTGATCGTTAAACAGAATTCATAAGGTATACCTCCTGGTGTGATCGCATTTCTTCCTTCCCATGGTCCTGATTTTGGTGAGATGATAACCACAAACGAACATTTGAGGTATGTGGTGATTTTGACGCATTTGAAATACTTTCACTGATATTGCAGAGAATATAACTCTGCTGATAGAAAGGTCGCTGTTGAAATAAATCTGTTTCAGTGCCATAAATTTCACGGGTTCTGTCCCCACATTCAAAACTATTTGGCGGAATGTAGCCGAAAACCTTGACAAATATGTAACATTCCCAAAACTCATTGGAGGTATGTTTAACTTCTTTACATATTTTTTAGAGCGTTATACTGATTTTTATTTTGTTCTATTTGAATGGTTTTATGGTTGGTGTCACGATTTCTTTTTCTAACCGTTATTTACTGAATTATGGATGTGTGGGCTGGAAGTTGTTGCTACGCCGTGAATGCGAGGCGGAGCTTTTCTGGTGCTATTGGGTCTGGCCCTGGCTTTACACTACAAGCGTTTTTTAAGATTAGCTTTTTTCGATACATACGATTGCTTGAGAATGGTTGAAGTTGCCATTTCCTTGATGGGTACGGCTCAGTGTAGTCGTAGGGGAGATCGGCACTGTTTTTGGAATCAGTATTTTCGCGACTACTTTAGATAGAATGATCGCTACAAGCAGTAGTAGGACTTGAAGTGAGAGACAGTGATTGTCAAATAGGGGTACTTTATGGTGATCATTGAAATTGCTCAATGTTGTCAAATATGCCATAAAGCGCTAATGGTCGTGAAAATGTGTAAGAAGAGACCAAGGCTAACCTTATCTAAGAAAAGCTTTTTCAGAATGTGGTGGAAAGAATTTCCACTTCGTGCATCCTTCGGCAAATGCTGATGCTGTGGCTGCGGGTAAGTTTCTTCACATTTGTACCAATTCACCATTTTTTTCTTGCTTCTAATCCCTGCCTGTAGTCATGTCGGTGCAGGTTAGTATCAGTCGGGAACATAAGAAAGTTTTCGTAGAGGGAAGCTTTCGACGGGCTGAATTCAGATCAAGTGCCTTTACGCGGTGGAAAAATCGTCACCGTGAAGAGTTGCGACACGACAAGTTCAGCGATTTCGAAGAGGGTCCTATATCCTAAAGAAGTTTAATTAAATTGCAAGTACGTTGAATGTAGTGATGTAAATGAGCGAAAAGGATGCATTGCCCACTGCACTTCTTAGACGCTCGAGGATTATGATCTGCTCTGCTTCGAAAAGGTCTTCTAAAAAAAGGGAGCATGCATTCTGGGATTTCAATCTCGCTGCCTAGCTTTCGAGTGGGGATTTTTGAGCAGAAAATATTGAAGCAACAGTCCCAGCAGGGTTTTTACCTTCGACACTAATGGTGTGGAACGATGCGCTAGCCCTAGTCAAGAACATAAGAAGTGTGACTGAACAAAAAACTCACCTTGGAAAGCCGCTAGAAAGGGAGCTGAACAGCTTTGAAGTGGGCGTGGTTGTGCAGTCCCTCGGCCGATTCAACCACGCCCACTTCGAAGCCGTTCAGCTCCCTTTCTAGCGGCTTTCCAAGGTGAGTTTTTTGTTCAGTCACACTTCTTATGTTCTTGACTAGGGCTAGCGCATCGTTCCACACCATTAGTGTCGAAGGTAAAAACCCTGCTGGGACTGTTGCTTTAATAATTCCTATAGAAGCAAAGAATTCCTTTTTCGATATAACTCGACTAACACGAGTCTTTGAAATCGATATAGTAAAGTGCAACCTTGTTTGAACAAATAACTGAGGTTGCGAAATATGTCACGCTTGCTATGCCATATTATTTCCAAAAAAATTCAGGCACTGCTCGATCTGCATGGGAATACAGTGGTCAGAAATGCTCTGCTTGCTCACGGATATACATCCCGAAAAGTCGATCGGAAGAGATTTTCAAGAAAATTTCCGACATTCACAAGAAAATCAAACTGGGTGATGTGGGTTTTTACATTTTTTAAGTCAAAATTTCGATTTTTTGGTTGTTCATCTTCGTGTGTACGATTTTGTGTATTAAGAAGTTTGGTTAAGGTGCGAGATGGCTCGATTTTCTTCTCTGCTGTGATTGATAAGAAGTCGTTCGACAACATTAAGAGCTACATAGGTGACTAGTTTCTCCTTTTTTGGATTAATGACCATTTCCTTGTCCATTTAGTTTTTTCCGCTTCGACATCATTTTTTTAGATTACGCGAAGAGTGGCGCCGATGGTGCAGAAATTCTCCTTGGTGGAAAGTGTGACGACAGTAAGGGATATTTCATTGATGCCACTCTCATAAAAGTTACGAATTTGAGGAGTAAACTCATCAGCGAGGTATCTTAGCGCCTTCGTTTCATTATCGGCCAAAAATGATGGTTCTGTTTTCCCCAGGAAATTTTTGGGCCAGTTCTTACCGCTTATGTCTATGAAGATAATGAAGTGGAATCAGTTCTTAGATCTGTAAAGGTATGTGTATTTTTCTAAGTCACTTATGTTGTGCAGTACGCAATATTGCGACGGCTCTGTAATCACCTTTGCACAAATTTGCCTATTTTTCATTTTCAGGATCATACTCCTTATGGGCTTACAGGAGCCATCTTCTCGGAGGACAAGAACTTCTTATATCAGTAAGAATGAACTTTCCTTCATAGGCTTTTTCTTTTCTATTGTTGTTATTCTTTTTGGTATTTTTAGTACTTTATACACTGCGTTTCATAATTATAGGTCCACCCTAAATTTTTGCTACCCCAAAGTTGCTGTGCATTTTTTGGAAATGCTGCTATCACCGTTAGATTCCTCATCACGGAAAACCTTCATAGTGTTTTTCTGACAAAGTTCCCCCTCAAGTAACCCAATTAACTTTTTTCAGAACGAATTTTCACCGTTTCATGAATATCGGGCCACTCATAAAAAGTTTCCATTTCTCATGATCCGTGAAGGGAATGAGGGAAGCGGGGATATATGTGAGCTTAGTCGACGTCGAGTTTGCCATACCTCGTATTACTCGTATCTCTTCCAGTGATAAGCTCAAACCAGAGCCCTTACTGAAGTTTGATGGCTGAGAAGCAGAACTGCCTCCCATGTCGGCCGGCTCATGATGCATAAGCAACTATGTGCGAAATCCCGGTCTGTGCGGGAAGAAGAGTAGCCTTGGTAAATAATGACAGCGTTTCATTGAAAATCAAGAGGAATTGGGCGTCTTCTGTCGAATTGGATAAGGCGTCCGAACAAAGTCCGTGCTGAAATGCGGCCTTCCGTAAGCAAAACCACCGTGTTGTGAATAAGCCAGCAGAGCAATGACATCTTCAGCGGATTGATGAAGAGCGTTCCCAAGATTATTTGAGCGCTACAAGATCGCACGTCTCCATTTCTAGGTGGAAAAGGGCTCAAGTTAATGAACGAAGGTGTGGCTGTCCACCTCCTCGTTTCATGCTACAGGTGATCTGGAATCGGCGTGAAAAAGTTTATTCTAAGTGGATCTGATGGAAAATGAGGGTACAGGAGGGTTCCGTGAAAATCGCAGATGGTTTCGAAGTAAGGTAATTTTGGCGGAGAATTCCTTGTGGTTTGAGGCACCTTTGAACGACTGAGCGGCTAGAGCTCGTATTTGTTTCCTTTCACGAGGATTCCATAGGGTATCGTTAAGTCCTTCTGAAGCGACTTTTACCATCTTTTCGACAACAGCCCTCGAACCTTGATTTTTACGCACGATAACGCAGCTGTCCATGCCGGTCCTTACACGCCAGATGGAAGTGCAGGAAAAAATGTGGCAGTTATCTATTGGCCACCATGTTATATGAATCAGTTTCCAATGGAGAATCACAGGGCCTTAATTGTTATAAAGTTCCACAGCAAAGAAAAGCAAAATGGAACAGCCGAAGAGCTGAAAACGTCGATCATCAGCGCGCAGACAAATTTCGATCCTATTGTAATAGCTAATTTGGTTACCAGCATTCCAAAACGTATTATTGTGTTTTCTTATGACTAATGGAGGACCACATTATTGAAATTTTTTTACGTTTTTTTGTTGTAATAAAATCTTTCGACAAGTAATGTGTAGTCATATTTGCGAAACGGTGAAAATACGTTCTAAAAAGATATTTAATAATTCTGAATCGAGATTTCTCCAAAAATCGAGTATCAAGGTTTTTCGTTATGGGGAAACTATTGGTAATAGCGGCATTTTCCCAAAAATGCACAGCAACTTTGGAATAGCAAAAAATTAGGGTGGACCTATAATTATGAAACGCAGTGTAGTATTCAATCATTTTAACTTTTTCGGGACTTTTTATTAGTGTAAACAATTCAACTAAAATATTCAGTGCTCGCGATGTTCTACGTGATGCGGTAGGAAACATGTACCTCAACGACAAGTCCACGGGTTCCGTTGTTGGACAGCAACCCTTTGGAGGAGCTCGCATGTCTGGTGAGTAAGCATGTCTGCCGCTCAACTTGAAGTTTGTATCATAATGATCTGAAAATTCGATTATTATTCGTTACTTTGATAAATCTCGATGGTGTTTTACTTAAAATTTTCTTTTAGGGACAAATGACAAAGCAGGAGGCCCTCATTATGGCTTAAGGTGGACGTCCCCGCTCACTATCAAAGAAACAAGTGTGCCCCTGACCGAGTGGCGTTATCCTTCAATGGATTAACCACCATGCTGTTGCTAGAAAAGATGTAACTTTTATGTTTTTAATATCCTTCGTTGTTTATGCGCATACTACCTTGACATAATCTCTGCATTATAACTGTTTTTGGCATATTTCATTTGGTTTTGTTGTTACTTGCTCAATGTTCTCTTCAGGACATTGCTTATATATAGGTTGATATAGTCTAGGATCAGATCCGCTTTACGTTCCGGTTACTGTACAGTTTTAATCATCTAATAAGTAGCCTTCATAGTGTATTTGTTTAACTTTCGATTTGCTCCGAGGTTCTCAAATTGCGATAGGTTTAAATGCATACTAATAAATGTTTCTAATTTAATTGTCTTTTTCTGATACTTTAATGAGGTATCAAACCTTCTTTTATTTGCGTGACGGTACACCAAGTAAGGTGTTTAATTTTGTATTTCTTAGCATGGGTTACGCCGATGGTAAAGATTGGACTAATGTATCGTTCGAAGGTGGGTTGTGAGCATGTGCTTGTTTTTTTTGTGTTTACCTGTTTTCCTCAGCAGCATTCTCAAGGAAATGGTTTACAGTACGTTCATCGTTTCTCTTTTTGAGTAGGTCGACGTCAGCTTCATGATTGGAGAGATACAAATAGCAGACGCAGTGAGGAAGTCGTAGAATTGTGGGAGCACGTTGTGAGTCGCTCACCATCTCTACTAGGTGATGAGCTATGGATGGTGTATGAACAGGTTAGTTTTCATATTCAAATGTTTGTCGTTTTTTGGATGTTTTGCTTTCTCGCTATTTCAAGGCATCCCTTTTTTGGTGTCGGCAATTGAATTTTTTTATCTTTCACTCCAGCTAATTATCCCCTCGTTAGCCGTGCAGTTTCATTGAATTTTAATACTCGGAAAATGGGAATTGTGGTTGAAGAGCATTTTTTCGGCTTTTGGAACAGCACAGAAGACCTGTCTAAGTTTACGGTGTGTTCAGGTTTGCGTAGCCGCCCTTGACTGTGCCAGGCTAGACCTTGCCAGTGAGTGCATATCAGCTCTCAATCGCCGTTTTCCTCGAAGTAATCGTGTCTTACGGCTGCAAGCTATGCATCATGAAGCTGCCGAACAGTACGTTATGTTCCATTGTTTTTGAGAAAGTCTTTTTGTTCCCATTTTTGGTGTTTTTTTAAGGTTCGACACTGCTATGGCTTTGTATGAGCGGCTTATAGAAGACGATCCCACTAATAACGTCAGTTCGTCTTGAGTTTTGTTTGATTTCTTAGTGTGTTTTCTAAGCAGAGACATCCCAAAAACGTCTTACCATGTCCAGATAATAATTTTTCCTTCAGTCGTTTCGAAAAAGGAAAGTGGCAGTTCTACTGGCACAGGGGTTGCGACTTGAGGCTATCCGTGAGCTCAACGACTACTTGAAGGTGGTAAATAGTCACTTGTTGCCAGCTCTGTATGTTATCCACTTGACGATTTCAGATATTCCTGAATGACTCGGAAGCGTGGCTCCAATTAAGTGAGCTATTTCTTGCCGAATCGGATTTTGCAAAAGCTGCGCACTGTTTAGAAGAATGTGTTCTAGCGGCAGTGAGTTTTGTGCTATACGAATGTGTTTTCTGATTGAAAGTCTTTTTGGGCTCTGTTTTGCATATTGCTGCCGTTCCAGCCTCTTAATACCTTATACCTACGACGTTTGGCAGACATTCGCTATACTCAAGGTGGCCAAGAGAATATCGAATTAGCTAAGGCCTACTATGAACAAGCCGTCAAGCTCAATCCCTCAGATTTACGAGCCCTGTATGGGATCGTTATTGTAAGGCTTGGTTTTCGCACTACCTATCTCCTACAATTTGATGTTTTGCATTTAATTGCAGTGCACGAATTATTTGACGCACCATATGAAAGGATCAGGAAGTGAAAAGAAACGGGATTCGATAGTTGCGGGTACAAATGCCATCGATAAGATTCTGGCCAGATATGAGGAGGTAGGTCTCTGCACGATATATTTTATGAAGTTACTTTTTTCTTTAAATTTTGTTTAGTTACTTTATGAATTTATGAATTTCCATACATGTTGTTACTGCATCGATGGCCATGATTTATTATGAAAACTAAGATAGTATTAATAGGTGTGATCATTAAATTTTAATTGTTCATGTGGGTAAGGCGCTAATATTGAACCAGCTGTCTGTAATTGAATTTAGCTTTCTTTGTAATTTTTATGGTTTTCCTTTTCAATTGCATGCCACCTAATATTCCCACATGTGTTTTGAAAGCATTAGTTTTCATCTTTGGAGCCTACGTTAGTAGACTCATAAGTTCCCGAGATCTTCTCGAAGCCTCTACCACTTCTGTTTCCTGAAGACCCCTAAAAGCATAACCATACCATCTCTATCGCTGATAGCCACTTGTTTCCAAGCGCATGCCTCGCTGGATCAGTATTGACTAATCCCTCCCACAGATCAGGTTGTTGGCTCCACAAGCGCAGAGGCAGGGTCACTGCTGTGACTCTAAATGCTCGGAAAGGGCGCTTTAGTATGCTTTCCTGGCTTCGTCTGCCGTTCCCTCGATCACTTACATATATGTTGCAACAGTTCCTCTTCAGGCTGCTCTCGGCTTGACTTGAAAGAGACGAATTATTTGAGGAGTCTTTAGCGGCCTTTTCATTTCTTTTCGCATTGGCATTACGTTCACGGGACATCATCCAAGTACTAAGTTCTACTGCAAACTATTAGCACCATACTTCATCTTTGACGCTCTTTCGTGTCGCGCTCGCTTGGAATAGCACAGTAAACTTTTTCTGGTGGTCTGGAATGGCTGGATGTCAGTTGAGAGTTTTTCATGACATCTTCTGCTTATTACAACTTTTCGCTTCGGCGTTATTTGAGTTGTTCTAAGAAAAGAGGATAGTGAAGTGCCCCATTGTGCCAGGTCAGAAAGAAAGCGCCGCAGCGTTATTTTTTCAGTCCAGTTTTCTTTTTTTTTCAGCTTCGTTTCTTTTTCTTCGCTCTCAAATGAAATTCATGAACAGCACATTGTAGGAAGTTCTCATATTCCCACCCACCGGGTACGTAAATACGCCGCAATCGCTAATTATCGAAGAAAATTTGGAAAACAGCCTGTGGTCAATCTGTTCCTTCATTGTCTTTTACGAATATCTCCATAGTCATGACTTCACGATGGCAACCAATTTCGCAGACAAGGGGGCATTGAAGAGCTACCTGAGTGTTGTGGACAGGTGGTGGACATGGATGGTGAATATATCGAGCTCAATAAACAAAAAAAAAGCAGAAATGTGTGAATGTGTTGCAGACTTTCTTCTCAAACTAATACGTCCAAATAGATGTGGAGTTGTCAAAAACTTCAATTTTTCATTGCCGTAAATAATATTAAAAATCTGATTAACTCTGATTTAGGTCGAATCAGTCGGTGTGAACCCAAAGATATCTCTTGTGATTGACTCAGTGAAGCAGATGAAAACTCAGTTGACTACCTCGAAATAAGTAGCACGTTGGTTGGCTAGAGTTCCTATAAGTTTGTGTCTGTTTTCTTTTTTTTGCTGTTGAATGATTAAGTTATACGGCCACTACTAGTCAGCTTTACTGCCTGCGGCTGTACACACGGATTAAGATTGTTCATAAGATGTAAATGTTAATTAAGCAGTTCCGTCTGATACATCGAATACCAATCAATACATATATTATTTATTAGGAAATGAACATTCCAAAAACGCGAGTATGCGATCTGTACCATGTTCCTGAAGTGTGTTTCTTGTCGCCGCGCTCGAATGCATCTGATTGTCTTCCTCATATCGCTTACTTATCTTCATGAATTGTTGCTCTGTTGAAAGTGATTTATGTAGATGACTCTGATTCTTTGCTAAAATACAAGCTGTCTGGGTGTATTTGCCTTTTCTACAGTGACAACAGCACACAAATCCCATTCCCAGTCGATAATTTAATAACTGTAGTTTTTGATGAATGTCAGTTTTTTGTTGTAATAAACATAAACGGTTTTCCCATAATTTTTTTCACAGCAGCTAAAGGAGTATGGAGGGAACTGGAAAGTGAAGGTGGTAGTTTATATTCCGGGCGTTGTTTTTGCTCATGCCAATGAAGGCAAACTCACAAGGAAAGAGTAATAGGTTGGAGTGACCGTTTGGACCATATTGTTAGTGCATCGTTTGATGTTTAGAGCGGTCAAGTGCATGGCTTATACCCGTGTCAAGGCGAGAGGATTACTCCAGCCACAAACTTACATAGAATCACCAAGTTTACTGCGAGTTAATTGATTTGCGAGCTGATCATTCAGGCTTACCATATAAAAAAAATCGTCAGAATCAAGCGAATAATCAATGAAGGTAATTATAGAAAAAAGAGCAACAATTCATGAAGATAAGTAAGCGATATGAGGAAGACAATCAGATGCATTCGAGCGCGGCGACAAGAAACACACTTCAAGAACATGGTACAGATCGCATACTCGCGTTTTTGGAATGTTCATTTCCTAATAAATAATATATGTATTGATTGGTATTCGATGTATCAGACGGAACTGCTTAATTAACACATTTACATCTTATGAACAATCGTAATCCGTGTGTACAGCCGCAGGCAGTAAAGCTGACTAGTAGTGGCCGTATAACTTAATCATTCAACAGCAAAAAAAAAGAAAACAGACACAAACTTATAGGAACTCTAAGCCAACCAACGTGCTAATACTTATTTCGAGGTAGTCAACTGAGTTTTCATCTGCTTCACTGAGTCAATCACAAGAGATATCTTTGGGTTCACACCGACTGATTCGACCCTAAATCAAAGTTCATCAGATTTTTAATATTATTTACGGCAATGAAAAATTGAAGTTTTTCACAACTCTAGATATATTTGTATTAGTATGAGAAGAAATTCTGCAACACATTCACACATTTCTGCTTTATTTTTTGTTTATTGAGCTCCATATATTCACCATCGATGTCCACCACCTGTTCACAACACTCAGGTAGCTCTTCAATGCCCGCTTGTCTGCGAAATTGGTTGCCATCGTGAAGTTATGACTTTCGGAGATATTCGTAAAAGACAATGAAGGAACAGACTGACCACAGGCTGATTTCCTTTTCTAATTAGATTGCGGCGTATTAGTACGGTGGTGCGAATATGAGAACTTCTACGTTCATGAAATGGTACATTAAAGCAACAGTCCCAGCAGGGTTTTACCTTCGACACTAATGGTGTGGAACGATGCGCTAGCCCTAGTCAAGAACATAAGAAGTGTGACTGAACAAAAACTCACCTTGGAAAGCCGCTAGAAAGGGAGCTGAACGGCTTCGAAGTGGGCGTGGTTGGAAATCGGCTGCAATCGCCTCGGCTGATTTCCAACCCATGCCCACTTCGGAAAGTCGTTGAGC